AATATTTACCTTATAACTTTCTTCACTTCCTAGAAAGGCCATTTTCCTGTTGATTGTTTTTACTAGGTTTGCTAGTATGGCTATTTAAAATATAATTTGGTAAGAATGTAACTGTGGTTTATAGTAATTACCATACAAAATTTATAAGGAATTTTAGATTCACCAAAGGTTAAATGATATTACGTTGTTGCCTGGACTGGATTTATAACTTCAAGTAGAATCTATTAGTTTAGTAGATTTTTATAACTTGGTTTACTAATCTGTGTCTTTAAAAATTATTGATCATAATTATTCATGTGGTCTGTTGAAGCCTATTACAGCAATCAGTTCTCTTTATGAACTGAGTTATTAGATCATTTTTAGTAAAAGATATTAAGTTCAAATTACTGAATATAAAAGTTTATAGTAAAACAGATAACCGTTGGCTCGTTTAACAAGTTGTTAACGTATGACATTAGAATCTTTCTCAATGCTTTCATGTTTTCATGCTCGCTCGGAGAGTTGGTCAACCTGGACATATCTAGGTTAGTGCTAACCTATTGGTAAGATATTGTGATTGTTTACAAAAACAGTAACAAGAATGAGACTTTCTGAGGGTTTGTCTTATGATACAAACAGTTACAAACTCAAAAACATCATGCAGATGGCACTATCTACATGATTTGAAACTAAAGTTTTTACCAAGTTAAGTACTTTAATGGAGATTTTAGCAGTATCAATCAACTAGGAAACCACTGTAAATCCCTGGATTACGATTATTATGATTGTAACTAAAAATATGGATTGTCAGAAATCGGTAAATCTTTATTAGTTATCATGGTTTCCAAGAAAACTTTAGTTATACTGATCTTGTATGACATATTAACTGTACGCTCCTGAATATCCTAAACAAGAATGAAACAAGTGCATAGATCTCTTTAGTTTTATCGGTTCTCTAAGTTATATAAACCCAAAATAAAAATTATTTATTATTTATAAATGATTATTTCATAACCAACTCCGCCTGTAACACTTTTAGGGTTACCAGTGGTCCCAAACCCGGGTAATGGCGGAGAGTTGGGCATGGGGTCAACAACCCCGTCCTGTAGAAAAGAACCGTGCTAAAAAACGCTAACCAGAATAAATATGATAGAACACTAAGACTCTTCCCTCCGAGTTGAGAAAAGAATTGTGACGCCTCATGGTGAAAGCCAAGATCATTGAGAAGTAACGAGGATATCCTCTGTAACAATCAGTGATACGATTAATATAGATACATGGAATTTTCTGACAATATAGTTATGAAAATGAGAAGATACAACTAAACAGTGCTCGAAATCAGTGAAACCCATTGAACCCTAGCTGAATAGCAGAGGTCAGATAAGCGAGAAATGCTGCTGTACTCCAGCCACAAAGACGAACATACTACACATACAGGGACATGCTCTTATACTGTCCAAAGAATCACGAAATGCACTTACGGGATGTCAATCTCATGTATCTATTATCATCAAAAGTACCATTCAAAACAAAGTGGGAGGAAATGTGGTGTTTAAATGAACAAATGATTTCTTTGTACTTGTTGAATGCTTGGTTCCGAATTCCAAATACAGTACATTCATTTGTGTTTATCTAGTACTTCTTGATCCATTCGCCTTATTTCTGGGATTCTCAATTCGTACTATAATTCAAATACACTTAATTATCATAAGAAATCACAACGAATTTGATGGACTTTATGTCCGGCTAGTTATCACGTAATTTATCCACCAATCAAAATATGACTTGTACAATCTCAGTACTGTACCAAACCAATGACGTTCAACCGGTACGAGGAGCCTAGCGTCTTTATTGGTCCTATGTTCGCCTGGCACGTCCACTTGAGTGCAGAACACCAATACCAGCTTCCACTATGCGAATCGAATCGAATAATTTATTTCAGACATACTGGGTTCATATATCAAACAAACAGATCGCAGCGCATCATAAAATACGGAATAACATTTGTACACAACAAAGCCAAAATTGGCTATGAACGTGGGTGGTAGTAGTCAATAAACTGAACAAAACTTAAGAACAGTAAATCGTACAATAATAATATATAGATCAAAATAAAGCTTGTGCCAAGGGGAATATAGATATACCTAATCTAGTGACTGAATATTAATACTATGAGAATATTAGTCCATTATTAGGCCACTAGGATATAACAGAATTGTATCCAGTGTTATGCATCAAACAATGACAGGAATGGCAAGGATGGGGATCAGTTTTGCGAGAAACTTAAATCGATCATAGTGAAGTGCTTGGGGAAAGACCTGGTCATTTTGATGGGGGACCTAAACGCCAAAGCCTGAACTGACAACAACGGTTACGAAAATATCATGGGACGACATGGGCTGTAAGAAGGAAACAAGAATAATGAAATCGCCTGGTGTCCGCCAAGATGAAACCGAAGCTAAAAAAGCACTAGACAACTGAGGAAACAACAGTACAAATGTTCAATACAGCCTTCCTTCAAGATACTTACAAACTCAACCAATTCAAGAGAGCTTACAACAACAAGTTCCAAGCGTTACAGGATCTACTAAAAGAAGAAGAAACTATTATGGGGGACAACTGGAAAAGGAATCGAAGGAACACTAGCCTCAAAGTCTGAAAAGCTACTGAACCACAAGAAGCATCATCATAAGGAATGCATCTCCGTTGGAACTATTCACAAGATTAAAGAACGGGAGAACAAGAAGACATCAATTAACAACGGTTGATCAAGAACAGAGAAAGTCAAAACACAAGATGAGTACACAGAAGCAAACAAGCAAGTAAAGAATGGTATCACAGCTGACAAGCAGAAATATGTGAAAGAGATAGAGAAGGAAATATGGGACAACTACATGACACGATGAAGAAACTGACAGGGAAATATAGTAAACTCGAGAGACCGATCAAAAAAGGAAGACAAGACAATCACCGAGATTCAAGAACAGAGGAAGATTTAGGTAGAATACTTCGAGGAACTTGTAGTGACCTACCTTTATCAACAGAAAGAGATTGGTGTAATGGAAACAATTACTATTATAACCAATTGGCCAGTGATTGTTTTACTGTACCTGTTTATTTAACTGTACCAAAGACATTCTTCCTTCCGTTGATTGTGACTTGGTAAGCGCTTACGTTTGCTCAATGATTCCGCTTGTACTCATTTGTCACGATCTCGGTATTCTCTCGATACCACGAGATCGCCAACAAATATATTTCGCTACAACCTCCAACCGCCTTCTGATATCTGGTACTCAGCCTTCTTGTAGTGGTGATCATAGTTAAACGCGACTCGACGCCACGCAACAATTGGTGAATCCGAAAATACGAACACTTCAATTGAGGTCCAAAGAAGCCAATTGCGGTGGGTATATTATTTATCAATCCACGTCTATTGCACATTTTCATATTGATATTTTCCAATATCTAATATTCTGACAACAACTTGAAATGACGGGTAACGAAAGAATAGTATTAATGTAATAGACTACGGGTACGGGTTATCTATTTTCGAACTGTATCTTTTATTTCCCATGACCCGGAAGTTTGACTCGCTGCATTGGAGTCTCAGCTCGAGACCCGCCACGTTACGAGCCAACGGCAAAAATATGCCTACGCTCTGGAATCTTTATCAGGAGATCACGATCCGTGAGGTCGTCTTCAACCCCAGTGTGCCTAACGTTTATGATCGTCTCAAGGAGCCGATCCTCAGGCATTTCCTCCCATCGAGGGAGGAACGGAGGAGGACATTATTAGCGCATCATCCTCTGAGTGATGTTAATCTGAGCTACCACCTCACGCACCAGCAATTTCTTGCAGGACCTACAGCAGCTGATTCCGAAATTGTTAAGGAATTGTGGCTTGAATAGTTACCAACACACATCCAACCAACGATCACGGCCCTGCTCGGGGACGCATCACTCAAGCAGGTGAACCTCATGGCAAACAAAATACTGACAAGGACTGGCAAGCGAGACAACCACATAGTTACCTCAACGTCATGTTCGAACGTGAATATCGACGCAAGTCACATTTTTTGGCTTCAGGTGATAGAGGCGATTGTATTCATACACGTCTTAACTTCCGAGACCGTTATTATATACCCAAACCTTACGTCCCTCGAGCCAGACCACGCTCTCGGAAAGCCGCAACCACTCGCCCAACGAGGGCATCTTCGAAGCCACGCCAAAAGGCGGCTTCGGAAGCAAGTGGGGTTTGGTGCTGGTTTCACCGTAACTTCGGGTTCGACGCCCGCCGTTGTCAAGCCCCCTGTTCATACAAAGCGGGAAACTCCCGAGCCGGCGAGTAAATGCGACTGTACTCGCCGGCCCTTCACTCCAGGTTGGCCGTTTATTTTACGTGCACGATTGCATGGCCGGTCGTGCAATGACGGAATTGCGATAGTATGGATCATTGTTGAACAATCAATGACGTTTAACATCCCAGATTCTCCTTGGTATCCCCTCAAATACCTAATTAAAACTTAGAGGTAACACCCAGAAATCAGGGACATGACATAACAGAACGGACTGTAGGAATATAATGATTATAAGTATTCGGGTTATTGTACTAACTAGGAATTTCCGAGATAGTATAGCAGTTAAAACTATATGGGCACAAATGAACGTATTATACTTGGAATTCGTAATCAGCGGACTATCAAGTACAAAAGAATCATAAGTTCTTGCAAACACCTCAAGAAACACCTTCTATTCCTTAAGAGTAGTTAAATTAAGGAAATTTCTACCTGCTGAGGTTGTTCAAGTGACTCCCCAGGAATCATTTAGGAAAAAACTTGGCATATTCATAAGGATAAAGCATATTATCTCAATATTACTTACTAATATTTTTCTCTTTTATTGTTAAATATACCTAGGTTCCTACCGAGCGGCATTGATGGTCGACCGATATTAAATATGAAAGGCCATTAAGCGAAAGCTCATTCTAATCTGTCCAGAACCATTTATATATTGAACCATATCGGAGAGTTCGTCAAGGCGCCTGGTGCAACTGTGACCTCGAAGCTCAAGGTGGTTAGTCGGGCATTGCTTATTCCCGTCCTGTTCTTTCTACCTTGCAGACTAATTGCTGATCGAATATCCGTTTATTAAGCACAACTCATTTTATACAAAGTCGACAATCTGAAGGTTAGATTTATTTGAATAACATTGTTTAGATAAGTTTCTAATGAACAATTCAATTGAACCGTGCGAATTTGTTGAAACTAATGATACGTGCGCCTCGAAAAACACCGTCAAAGATTTATGTCACAGGGTTTGTTCTCTTTCTCACTAATTTCCGTCAAATAGCTAGAGAAAAACCCCTTCGATTATAATGCACACGTACAACTCATCGAGTGTCTACGAAAAATAGGCGATTTCAAGAGACTCAAAATTTCGCGTGAGCGTATGCACGAAACCTATCCACTTACACCAGGTAATTTAAACACTGAAAGTATTTCCTGACTATGTTAAGTGTTGTCTTTGGCTTATACAACCTGTCTATTTTATTTAAGCCATATACTATCTGTACAATGCTGTATTTTGTGGGTTGGAATAAGTGTCGCGGCCAAACGTAACACTTTCATTCCCAATAGGGAAACAAATCAGAAAAGTCGATGCTTTCTTTGGAATAAGAATTGGCCAATCCATCCTTTTGGATATATTTAATAGAGAAGCTTTAATAATTTGTTGAAATTTGAATCCCCCGGTTATTTTTTGATGGAGTTTGTAGTAATTGTTTTGATTTTTAGGTACGTTTAGTCAATATTCATTTAATTCCTGTGTTTTGGAAGATGAGTGGGGAATGTTTCGTTTGGTCTTATTACTTAGTAATCTGTTTTGTATGGTCTAGTGTGGATAGTCTTCCAACAGTCTGAGAAATCAACGATAACACCATTCGGCCACCGTCACTGAATAGCGAAACGTAATCGAGAATAGTGACAACTTACTATTTGACTACGAATTCGAGTCATATTCCGTTGACTCTTTTACATTTGTTGAATCACATGATGACATTGTAGACCGTATTTTACTCGAGAAAGTTATCTTATAGTCCTGTCATTGAATTTATCTGGTCTATTATGAACGCATAAGTCCTCTAAAATTAAACTTACCAATGGGAGACAGTACTACATTTACCTAGCATTATATTGCTTGCCTGAATCTGAGCTGCCGTAAATACGAATGACCAGCAACTCCTATCTTCTGTATTACAAGTTTAAATAAAAGCGATTCTATGCAGTTCAGTGCGCGGGTCCGCAGCTTCTTAAAATTTAAGAAAAGTTAATTTCACAACATCAGTTTACTAGGTAGCTCTTTGAGTAGGCCTACATTATCCCGAATGACAATTTTTAACTCAGTCATCATTCTTGAGTTTGTGGAAAATAGCCAATGTATTTGATGTTTAAACATCGGGCTTTTAACTATATCTGGCGAAATTCTCTTTTCAGTTTATTGTATGCCAATTCTGCTTCTAGGACCTGACATACCTTTCTAACTAATGTCATCAGGTTATTTCTGGCTACTGCTTAAGTTATGCAGTACTCAGGATACTCGTTTTACGGCTTTCCCCTTGTCACTTATTCGTCTTTGACTCATTTGGAGGAGTTGATACTTCACACTCGCTTGTCCCTCATTTTTATGTTTACATATGGCAATCGTGCGTCGATTGATTTAGTGTGGTTGTTGACTTCCTACTTGTTTGTAACAATAAAATCCTTCTCGGAGCTGTGATTTATAGATATATCTATAGTTGGCATTGCTGCTGATTAGAGACTATGCTCGTCTAAACGGCACTGCTTAACAATTATGTGGACGTCGGGGTTAGGTGTATAATTTATGTTACAAGTATAAGATTTGTTCAAACATCGTTGATTCAACCTTTGTATTTATCAAGTTATGCCGTTCCTCGCTGGTTCACGACGATCCACTTCAACGGTTACTTTCGGAAACTTCAGAAAGTTCTCAGATAATAGCTCAAAGGAGATTGCCGTAACTTGTTACACGAAGGTGCAAAATTAACCAAAAATCTACCTTACTCATTAAAGGAATATGACTAAAAACTCTTTCAAATACTCTCCTTGATACCCTCATTTCATCTCAATAAAGCGAAACAGTAGCTTCGATTTTAAATTTATCATAAGTAGAAAGTTTACTCAACGAGAATAAATGCCACTGATTTTTAGATAGTCCACGCTTCATTGATATGATATAGCTAAAGTGTATCTTAACTCATGGACCTTGTTTCTTATTTAAGTAATGTGATGATGGTTGCACCAGATTTTTGTTTTTAAAGCAGACTTACTACAAACTTCTGTCGTGGTCTGTAGCTTATAGACTAATCTATTTTATGGCATCTGGCTACAATTCAATAAGCTTGTCTTGTTTAATCACTGCATTTCACCCATATTATTACTTAAACTTTCTAGCTTAAACTTGTAAGAAGTGATTTTATTTCGTTTAATCTATATTTTCACCTGTCCTTTCCAGCACTGTGGCTTCAATGGATCGAGGATGAGCTTAAGAATGCTTCTACACTTGAAGAAAAGCGACGAGTGGAAATTCTTTTTAAACGTGCGATTGATGATTATGAAGGTCAGAAGCTAGGTGTACAATTCATACTTTTGACATTGCTCCTGCCTTTCTAATCATGTTCTGATTCTTTCAGCATTGCTCCAACCTTGATGAACGTTTTAAGTGAAGATTTTTGAGGCTTATAAATTATAGCATCTAAAGTAAAAAGAAGAGACTGTGGTATCACACCGAAAAGGAAGTTAATGGTTAAATGACATTTATCCATTTGTCAGATTTACTAGTGGATACAACTGATGTAAAACACTTTTAGAATAATTACATTTGATTTTGCAAACCTTTCTAAAACTGTTAATCTGCATTATTTTGACTTGTAGCAGTAAGCTTCAAATAACACAACTAGTCTGACCATATTTTGAGTGTGAATATGGTACTTGTCAAGGTATTTTTTCGAGTGTATTCATAATGTATGGAGTTTACGAAATTATTCTGTTCTATGGTAGTAGGTATCTGTTAGTGTGCTCAGTGATTACTCATTTTTGACTGAAGGATAAAGTCTTAGATCATCACTTTATTGTGTTAGTGGGAACTTCTTGCACTCAAAATTGAATTTTTGTAGTGTATAATGTTTTCAGTTTGGTTTATTTCATGACTAAAACAACGGGATCCTGAATTGGATTTTTACTGCAACTTCTGTTGGCTTCTGAATTCGAACTTCAGAGAAATAACAACGTTCATCTGTCCAAGATATCTAAGTTCTTCATATTGTATCGTAAAAAAAACGTAATAGTAAAAATGAAGCATATGTGCAAACAGATAATAAATAACCTTCATTTACAAAAAGATAAAAGCCATATGCTCTAGCAAATTCCGCAACTAGTTTTGATTTCTGGACTGCCTCTTTATTAATCAAACCAATCACTCCTATTACCTCTCGATGTAGTCACTTTTAGTCCTCACTCTTACTATAACTTACAGTTTCGCTACTTATCGACCCCTCATGCGGCATATATTTCATTCGCCAATCAGACTTCGAAATGTGTCGTAGATTCCATTTTCAGGTACTACCCGAATATATAATCAGTGTAAGTAAAGGCAGTATATAGAAATCTACAAACTAACAAAAACTAATGTTTTTAGTTCTTAAGTACCCACGATAGAAATTACAAGGAAACTCATAATAAAAATTATTATGAATAAGGTGATCTAAAGTGTTTCAACTCGTTCTTTTCTCTTTAGTTTTGTAAGGGGTTGTTGAGTTTCAATATTCCTGTTGCACCATGCTCACTAAAAGCAAGTGCTTGAGGAGAGCAAAATAACCTGTTCAATCAAATGAAATGTTAGTATTCCAGCGAACCTCAACCCAATAAATATTTTACCTTATATATAGTCAGATGTCCCATCACGTTTTTGTAGGGAATCTAATTCAAAAACTAGTATGGAAAGTGTATTACCTCACTGTAAATAACAATCAAAAATTTGATTTCGTTTTCTTATAGATATCAATGTATGGTTAGAATACTGTCACTTCGCAATCTCTACTTCGGATTTCAGTTCTGCGGATAGTATAAAGCAAGCGGAAGTCATTTTCGAATCTGCTTTGTCACATCAAGGACTTAATGTTGTTGGGGGTTCGATGCTATGGGAGATCTATCGTGAATATCTCACTGTGGTGTGGTCTCAGTTACCACAAGATCGTAAGGTTAGGAATATCTGTTTGCTTCATGAAAAATGTAACAGTTTACTTTCCTTATCACCTTTTAACCTTTGAGTACCTCACACTGCGGCACATCTTTATTATTCACGAGTCCTGCTCATATGTTCAAATAACTTATTACTTTGTCTTTAATTTCCATGTAATCTGATGTATAGCTCTATCTTCTCAACATAATTGTTAAACGTGATCAGTCTAAAGCCTTTTACCGTTTATTAAGCAGGAATCATTAAAATTGAAGCAAGTTTAGTGCATACACACTTCTTAGGTTATCTTGTTAGATAGTCAAAGAACATAATTTGTTTATCATCTAATATTTCTTTGTTAGGCTGCCTAGTGAATATGTAAATTAATGCTTTGTCAGTGTGTAAAATTAATGCATCACAATATAAGTTAAATAGAATTTTAGAAAACCCGTAAAAGTTTATTGTATAAATAATAAGCGCTGCTGTCAAGAGTGATGCAAATTTTTAACTGTTACCAGTTGATTTTACATTTATTAAGACTTATTTTCCGATTAGATGTTTATGTGCTTTGTTCTAAGCCACTATTTATGTAATGGGTATTGGTATTTTCCTGCCGCCGATAGTCGTTTACGGAGTACCGATTCGCATGTCAGTAAAGTAGTTCGTACGTTTGTCAACTTCAATCTGTTGGACGAAAGTACTAGTGAATGGGAATCAGCTAGTCACAGTTCCCCTTACTCGTCATCTTTATCTAATAGGATAGTACAACATTAAAATAAACTGTCAGGTTTTAAATCAAATGGTTGAGTGCGTTTGTGATTGTTAAAATTGAGATTAGTGTAACAGTGTATAATTAATCCTTCATTCTGTAGATTTCCATAATAAACCTCTAGTTGGTCATTCCAAACAAGTCTGACGATATTACTACTTTGGTTTGAGTGACCGCGTAGTATAATTATCTTTCATACTGAAGTATCTAGTGAATGAGTCCATTTAATTAAAAATATCATTATTCGCAATTGGTTTTCTATATTTGGAGTGGGAAACAGTTTATTTCTTTTTATTTAACTAGGAAATGAAACTAGAACAACTGAATAAAATGGACCGTCTATTTCAGCGTCAACTCAGCATTCCACATTTGAGTAAGCTATTTCTGAAAAAATATTTCAATCACCTTTACATTTCCCCCAACTGTGATTTCGAATCCAGGACCTTTGATCTTTCGCGCGAACGTTTAACCCATAAACCACTGAGCCGGCATCCGATTGTGTTAATGTCTAACCAATCCGCGATGTCGCACGACTATCTTCAATTGTTTTCGCTGGGTAACTGACACGGTTGAACATTGATCAGCTCATGACTTCAATGAAATTCAGCATTCTCCACAATCCCAAACTAAAAATCTAAACAACTATCGCGGCCATCTTGTTGTACCTAGCTATTCCTATTAATAAGTACTGTTAATTAATAAGCAAACTACGTCATTCTCCACTTGTCCATTATGCTGCAAACATGAGCATTTGATTCCTCGTAATGATAGGTTAGGAGCTAATTGTTCAACGATTTTGATAACCTATCGACTGCAACTCAGGTTTCACAGTCGAACTGCTTTCAAAATTCCACTTCGATGAAGATTGGACTAGTATTTCTGTTTATTTTCCAGTGTATATTCTACTACAGACCTGTATACTTATTTAAATATTCAGCAACACCATTGAAACTATTTCGAATTGAATAGCCAGTTGTTAAATGCACTCTGTTATGCATACTACAAAAATAGTCGAACTCTATTGGTGTAAGACAAGGCTTATGTTCATGAAGTGATTGTTTACTCTTAGAATCTCTATGGGAGGAAAAGTGTACATCGTTTGGTAATCAGGTTTTATAATATACCACACTAGACAGAAAGCTTAACATGTTTTTAGCCGCCCAAACACAATAAAATAACTTACATTCTTGCTCTATAAGTTCTATTTTGATTGTTTCCCAATCAACTTTTTCACCTTTAATAAGATTTCATTTTCCCATTCATTATAGATATGGAGCAGACATTAACTGAATATAAAACTTTCTTATCTGATATTGGTGTAGAACTATATCAACCGAGGGAAAATTCAGATTCCTTTATACCACAAGAAATCAAAACGGAATATGAGAAAGCTTTAGAGCGTTTAGCTGTTATTTTACCATTTGAAGAATCCATAGAAGTAAGTGGGGTGAATGAGTTAATTTGTCAAGGCATCTTAAGGAAATTGTTTATAAACCATAAATGCATGTGTAAGCTATGCGAAGATTCCCCACACAATACTGTATTGGCGAAATACTTTTTGTTTTATCCCATCAGGGTGCTCACTAACCAGTAAGTGGCAAGAATATTTCTAGGCCATTAGTAGCAGTGCGCAGATTTGGTTCTATATTGTAGATTTATGCATATACATTTCTGATATGTTTTGTGCTGTAAACTATAGCAGTGGCCCATTTGTTTACCGTTTACACTCATGTTATAATCACATGTTTTAAAGTAAAATCTCGTTAGAAGACGATAAGATGAAGTTGATCAAATAGTGGACATTGAAAGTACTTAACGTTATCAGGCTGAAACCTTGAACGTCCTTATTACCTTATTGATAAAAGTAGTTATCTTCATATGTCATGGTTAACATAGAGCCTGTGACAAGTGTAATTTAACCCATATTACCACTCTTCATATTAGGATAGAGAAAGAATATTAACAAGCTTATGATCAAATGAGCTGGGATATTAGTACTAATGTTAGTTTAAAAAAGCATGAGCATTAATTTTAGTGGTTATGGAGGGATCAATGCATTTGTGTCACTATGATCGATTTAATAACAGATAAAAAGAAGGGGAAGTAAATTAATTGAAAAAAGTGACGTTCATTCATGAGAATTGAGTGCAATTGTTAGAAACATCTAATCTACATATCTACTCTATATAACGTCTGACATTACAGCTTTAGCCTTCAACTGAGAAAAGTTCAGAATGATTTCAATTTATTAGACTAAAAAACGAGGAAAAATTATCCAATTCGGGAACAGATCAATGTTGATCCATAAAATTAGATTTGAAACAAATATAAAGATTGGTCGTAGCATGTTTGATTCAAGCTCTAAGGTCACAGGTCTAAATCTCGTTCAACCCACTTCCCTTTGAGCAACCAGTAAATTTAGATCAAGTACACAAATGTATTCCATCAATTTCAAGTCATGAGACCTCAAATTTCTAACTGCTGCTACTATCTCTCTCTTCACCTTGACCAAAGCGTTTGCTGTTCCATAGCACTCGTCCGAATTAAAGAATTAGAACATGTTTACTTATTCAAGCAATCAACAGTCTAGAGTTGAATGGGCTTGTTATATTATTCTCATGTTTTAAACGATAGAGTTGACGTAGAGCTTGCGTGCATTAAAATATTCGTTGTTATTGCTATTTTAGTGGTAATGTCTTTGCAAGGTATCTTTATATATTAGAAGTAATTTTTTACTACGCATATTTTATTTAAGGAATCCACTGACAAGTCAGAAGCGGAAGCTGTTTCCAGTTGGAATACGTATATTGATTGGGCAGTTCATTGTGCAAAACGAAAAAAGCCTAAAACATCTAAAAGTACTGATAGTAAGAATAATGAGAACACTTCTACCAATTTTGTTGTATCACCTAATGAGTTATGCTGTCTTTTCGAGCGTGCTATTACCGCACATTGTTTAGATACATCTTTTTGGATACGCTATGCAGACTATGTGGTAAGCTGTTTATTATTTCAAATGCAAATCATCAGTATTTAGTTTTTGACAGTTTAGTGTTTCACCAATACAACCTTCCAGCAATAATCAAAATAATGTTGTATACAAACGTGAAACGAGTAACTAGAAAAACAATAAGTTGGAACTACCATATTCAGTATGTCTTGAACTACTATTCGATCTATATATCGTATATTGCTTTAAATGAATTTAATGGTACTGAGTGGTTCAATTGTTAGTGGTTTCTGTTTACTTGAAAACAAATAGTTGATCGAGTGAAAAACAAAACATTTCTACATTGTTTTTCTTGTTTTGTGTGGATACTCGTGTTTTTGAATAGGTTTTTCCTTTTATGTGTCATGATTGTTTGTTGTCATTTACCAAACAACCGCAACCCAATTAAATTGAATCAATCAGTAGACATTAATGACTATAAACCTGAATATACGCTATCATGGAATATTCTTTAACTCAGGAATAATTATCATGAAAAATATACATTGAAGTTTTGCTTTATTTAAATGAAAAATATTCATATGTTTATAAGGTAATTCGGCATCGGTTCTGTTTAGCGAACATTTAAAGTGTATTTATACCACGAATTAGATCACTCCTTTTATAGCAGCTTATTTTAAATATTAACATAATATTGTATTCTTTGTAGTGGATTGTTTGTTCTCTTTCTCTGTGGCATTATTACTCAAATCGAAATCAGTGAGGCAGGGTTCAGACCTGTAATCTGTTAATTTAAAGTGGAATATTTTTATCATCAAGACATCGCTTTACGTATTCGTCGATCACTTGGAAATCGACGGACAATCGTTGTACCATTTAATATTGTACGAAACATAAGTACCGTCTCTCATTGAGTATGAGACTGAAATTCTTGCTGGGAGTCACATTGTAAGAATAGAAACTAGTCTGTTCTAGTTTTAGTGTGACTTAAATGAACTCTGAAAAACGAAAAAACATGTACTAAGTTGAGTAGTGGGAACAGTTTAAATCATAACTGATAATTGTAGTAAGAACGTCAAATTCAGTAAAAATTAATGTATTGTTTTTTTGAAATAAAAGTAGTATAGCTAACAATAAAGTGAATTCGTTAAAGTTGTAAAAAGGATTTTAGGGGGTGAAAATACATGTATGAATATCGTGATTTTTATTTACTATGAAAAATACTGTATATTTATCGTTTGTCGTTTGAAGACTCTGAACAGGTTAACCGATAGTGGTTACTGGTTCTACAATTTTATTTATTCTTCTGTTCATTGAAGAATTTCAGTAAAATGTTCACTACAAGTACCTGTCATCAACTGTAAGTTCGTTGATAATTTAAGAACGATGGACATATCTCATTTACATTTTAGACTTCTCATGCACCCACAACCTCGTTTTGGTTTTAGACCTTGACCTTCAGGTTTCGTGGCGAATACGGTATCTTAAGATAGCAGCCACAATCCCGTAACCCACATGTCGTGGTGTTTAAAACTCATCAGCTGATTTCATCGATCAATCATCCGCAAGCCAGTCACATTAGGTTAAATGTACTTCATAAATCCTCCACTCACGGGTAAACTTTGCGAACTAAGGTTTGGAATGACTCAGAATGTTACATATTCTTTTCAAGCCTTTCCTAAAAATTCTGCTGTATTTAGCCCCTAAACAATATAAATCTCGTAATTGCCAAAAAAACTTGGATATGAAAGTCGTAGGCTGCGTGACTTCAGTCACTTGTATTTTTCAGGAATCGACCTTCTTCTAGGAGATTCGCTTGTGAACATAGAATATACTGATGACATAGCTCTGCTATATAAAAATACTGACAAAATACAGTCTTTTAACTTCCTTCCTTCTTGTTTCAGGACTGCATCATCAAAACTGATGACAGCGAGTGAAGTAGTTGAGTACGTCAACCACCTTACTTGCTGTGTGTCTTATCAGACCCAACTTGTGGGCGTTTGACATCTCACCATGGATTCAGAAAACTCAGTTATCTTTTGTCAACTTAGGCTACTTGCGGTCTCGGTATGATGTTTTTATGCCAACCAAGAGATAAGTTCACTGAGTAGTAGTATGCTTTGTTTTACTTTATGACTGAAACAGCCTTCAAAATAGAGTATATTAATAGGCTACTAGTACTTGATCACAGATGTCTTCAAAACATTATTCATATATTCTGCGACCACTTATTGAGCAGTGTTGAAGTTAGGTGTGGAGTATTAAATGAACATGGCAAATTGGTTAGTTAGGTATTGAAACTTAAACAGCTGCTTTGGTTGAGATATTTGTTACGTATGCTGAACTACTATCTAACTCGACGGGCGCTTTTGTTTGGTGTAGAAGTAAACTAGAAGAAAGCTAGGGGCAACCAAATCAAGACATGGAATCAGTCCATGAGATCACTGATCACTGGAATTCACCAGTAGGTCGGTAGGTTCAGACTAAATTGACTGGGGTGTGCTTCATTACCAACTAATAGCTAGAAACTTTGGGTGACACGATATTGTTTGGAGTGGTACAGGTGCACTCATTTTTTTGTTTTCGCTAGATCTTACGTTTTAAAATTATTTTACATTTTTCGCATACCACTGGTCCATATTTTCCCCTCGAGTCATATATTCTATACTTAATCTTTTCTACTACAATTGATACTGTTACTAATTCTACTACTCTGGAATTTGCGTTGATATTTTTGTCATTATAGGGGTTTTGGAGATTATTAAGTTTTTGATTGAAATCATGAACCGATTGATGTTAGACCACCATTGAAAACTTGGAAGCACTGGACGGCCGTTTCGTCCTATTGTGAAACTCCTCACTATTTTTGTGCGTTGTGACAAGGTAGCTTGAATCGATACATTTGCACGTCACGGTTTACAACATAGGTCTTTGTTCCATTCATTACTACTTCCTAAGCATCTGAATGTTAAGTGTGAACAAGTATGACTAAAAATTAATTGCGAGTTTAAATAGAACGACACTGAACTTCAAAATATGGTATTACGAAACTTAAACAGACATTAACATATACTTACGGTTCCGTACAGTCACTCCTCTTGATAAGCTTTTGTAACGTAAAGACAACTATGTTTCGGGATAGATTGGATCCATTTTATTTCCTTTACTATTATTCTACGAATACTCATTAGTTTTATAAATTCGATCTTATGTGAGACTCGTATTACGTAATTCAGTTTGCTAGTAAATAAAGACCGTGATTACTTTCAACAACAGCTGACACACTTTCGACGTAAATATACTCTTATGTTTCCAGGAATCTCAACTAGAAACGGATGTTCTGCGTTTGCAGAAGTTATTATCTCGATCAGTTCGTAACTGTCCATGGTGTGTCGAGTTATGGCAACGTTATGCATTAGTCACCGAAACTGTGATTCTTGAAAATATCTCATTCAAATCAAATACCAATGGAACACAACAGGAATCTGTTTCCAATGAGTCTGATCTATTTAAAGAGGTTGATGGTATGCTACTTTTAAAAAATTATTTTGTAGTTATTTTAATCATATTTCAGTTGTGTATAACACTTAATGATAATATATAGCAATTAGTCACTTTGATAAGTTTCGATTTATTTTATTTTAACACATAGATATTGGTACACGGAGGCACCAAATACATATGCGCCACATAGATCTCATTTGATATGTGTGAGGGCTGTGATACTGCTCGGATGCCCAAACCGAAGCAGGTGTTTTTCTTAGGGGGCCACACCCCGAGCCTTCGACTTGAAGGTCTGATCCACAAGGCAGTGGAGTATCGTAAGAAGATGCAGTCCCATGCTAGCCGGTGACCAACGATTGGTTCATACGCCATTTGTTCCTTCAGGGTACTGGAGCCTATGTGCATGATTGGTTTGGTTAAAGCGCCGGACATTCGCTTTTCGTCCTCTCATTTTCGTAAACAACACCCCCGCCACGAGAAGGCAGTGACGACGAAAAGCGAATGCTCGGCGCCTTAACCGGGTTGATGAATATAGAGGGTCCACTTAGGGGAGTTGGAAAACCCTTATTCCAAACCAATAGTGAATATGGGCTCCAGGATCCTGAGGAAATAAATGGCGTATAAACTAATCGTCGGTCATCGGCTACCATGAAACTGCATCTCTTTGCGTTACTCCACTGCCTTGTGGATTAGACCTTTAGGTCAAAGACTCCGGGTGTTGCCTCCGAAGAAGACCACTTGCTTCGGTTTGGGCGCCTGGGCAATATTCCGGCCCTCATACAAGTCGAATGACGAAGTGTGACTCATATGTATTTGGTGTCTCCTTGTGCCAATGTTTATGTGCTTAAATAAATAAGTAAACAAACATCAAATACATCTTTTATACTTGTTTGTTTACCTGTTTTTTGTTATGAATCCATTACAGGCATTTATGAAACAGCTCTAGCAGCTGGTTTCACTAATCCAGATGATGTATTGAAAATTTGGCGTAGTTATTGTGATCATCATTTGCGTAGACTTCTTTTATTAGATAAGAGTTCTTTATCTTGGGGTAAGTTCTAGAACTAATCCCATTCATTTTCTTATTATTCTATCTCATTATATTAGATTTTAATTTTGGTATCTATTTACATATAACGATGTCATAATTGTCTGGAGTTAACTGACACTGAACCTAGGTTTTACTGTTGGTTGTCACAATTTAACATGACGAATTTAAAAGATTCAAGGAACTGATGCTGTTCTCACAGTTAGATCCCTTACCACCAATATTTTTGAACTGCAAGCAATGTAGAAATAATCAAGTCCTACCGATTTGCACTAAGGGCTAAATATTATCAGTGGTTACTACAGAGTGGTTAGTTAATGTATAGATATTGATTGCTTACAAGCTTGAGTTTATGTAATTCGTAAAGCAGTTAGTTAAATATTGACCATCAATGAAGCCGTTGTTTTAATTTTTTTCTGACTTCAGTATTGAGAAACTTATTCAAAAACGTCTGATTATGAGACACTGTTAATTGGTCTTAATATTAAAACACTGCTTACACATAAGTTAGATAAGCTTCGTTTTATAATTTAAATGTTATTTAAATAGATATTATGAAATCTTCCACAAGATTCACACTTTCACGGAGAAATTATAATGAAGCAATAATACTTAAAATACCAAGGTATAATAAAGCAAGGACGGTAAATAAAAAGCAATAAAAATTGAAATGTCGTTTTTACTCAACGTTAATTCACTTTTATCGTGTCTATGACTCTAGTCATCTTCAACAAAGCACAGCAACCTGTAACTAACCATACATAACTCATATCTCAACCGCAAATAGGAAATTCTTAATGATATATACTGAAATATTCTTTTTTATAACCTATTTCTTTTATTTTTAGAATATCGACTGTCATTACTTCGTGCAACATTTGGTCGAGCTATAGAATATTGTTTTGAATGTAAGTTCGTACTGAAAATGACTATAAACATTCATTTAATTGCTTTTTAATGATGTAATACTATAATAACAATTTGCATATTTGAAAGCTCCAATCACAGGGGAAAATAATGTCCATATAAATAAATATTCTATATATCTACCACTCAAGATGAATTCAATATGTTGTGAACAGCTATGATATATGTAAACAGTCAGTGTTGGAAAATGCCATATTTCTTAAAAAATTAATCAGAATCAATAAAAAAAAGAGGACATGAAAATATGAATCTAGTTCCTTAAGACTTCCAAATTTCATAGTTAATCCGCAAAAACATTTCAAGCTACACTAAATCACCTTGTTTTCTTTCACTGTTATCATCAGTTTTTACAGCTTACAAATTTCAATGTCCATGATCTGGAATTTCTCAAATACAACTTGTGAGTACGGAAACCAATGATGATTTAAGATGATTGTAAGGTCAACTTTCAACACATTTTCGTTACATTACTTTATGAACTTTCAGTGGATTTTGACTGACTTGTTTACCCAGTTCACTAATTCTAGTCATTGTGACAGTCATCACTTACAAAACTTTGATTCAGAAATCGAACTTCACCCTCTCTAGTTAATGTAGGGCAAGGAAGAAAAGAAAAGAAACAGTTTTGTTCACTATGTTCAAATCAGAGTTGCGAATATATTAGCTTAATATATCGATTATCTCCCAAACCGGCTGGTTAAAAAGTGATGGAAGATAGTACTAGTTTGTATTCTTGATTATTGACCTATTGAATCAGTATGTGGAACTGAATAGCAGCATTATTATACAAAACATCTGAGTCTAGATCACGATGATTATTGTACAATCACGTTGGTTAGAAGCACTAACTACTATTCAGTTGCTGAGTATTGTGACTACCAATATGATACATTATTGATGTCTATTTTGTAAAGTAAACTTAATTATTTAATGGCAGCAATCACGAGATCTGTGTTCAACGTCTTCTTTCAGTTTCATCCAATGTAACATGCATACTGAATATTATACCGTATGAACTTTTTCGACTTTAGCAATTATATTGCAAACGTAATTTCTCTATATAATCATAGTTTTTTTCGTAAACTAACTTCAAACTGAAGCGACATTGAAGACTGAGGAGCATCAGGTTACTTTTTTTATCCTAACTTGGGAGTTTTTAGCAGTACACTCACATAACTCATCCACAGGTTGAACGTAAGGTCTCGGAGCCTCACTAAAGTCATCCTATCTCCAACTGCGAATTTCTCAACGAAATTCATATCTCAATAATTTCGTTTGGATTGAGCAAAGTAAATATTACTACATTAGTCATTGTTTCCTAATTAATTTATATCTTCAGTTTCACATACTTGAGGTATCTTCAATAATGTTATATTTTTCATTTACAGTACTGCACTCTCAATCAAATGTTGACTGGTCACTTTTAAATTATTATGCATTTGTTGAAGTGAGTTCCTTCTACATTCTGAATGAACTATGTACTTGTTATTTCTACATGATTTTGTGGGAAGAAAGCAAATCAGATAAACTTCCTTTAGATTTTTACCTCAAGTTTAGTAGTCGAAATTGTAGTAATACTTTACTAATAAGGTTATGGATTATCCATTTCTTACTTAATGAGTTGTAAAATGTGGATTTAGGTTAGAATATTCATGGAGAATCTGATGTTTAAAACTCTTCCTTTATTTAAAGTTAGTGCACTATTAGTTTCATCGGTCAAGTATTTGAAGATGATAAAAACTATAGATGATTGTGCTTCAGTATCGTGGTTGGATACTAGAACATATCAATTCAGTGTGTTTAAATCTCATGATACTATTTGTCATTCGTAAGAAATTAAAATAACCGAATATCAAGCCAGTGAAAATATAGTAACAAATGCAAGCTACAGTACATTGTTAAGGATTCATAAATATAAGTGGGGATTCATTAGTTTTAAGTGCAAAATGGGGATGATAATAAACCAAGAAATAAGACTTTCATGTTAAAAAGTACTCATACAAAAATTCAGGCTAATTAATGATTGTAGAGTGTATTTAACACTATGAACAATCCAAGAGAATTCGGTGTCTCATCGTTTCCACTGTGTATCTGAATGCTTTATCGTTAATTCATCCATTGTAGTTGGGTGCAAATAACTTTTGAGTTCTAAGCAGTCCTCACAGTATTTGTTCTATTTTTTGATAGTTAAATAGTTGTTAACTATTATTCTAATGATTACTGCTTTATGGAACATCAATGCTTTTGTGCACTGCCAAACCTGACCCATTAATTCAATTTGTAGCAATACTATTGAGTTGAAAATTGTAACTTTCCGATGGGTCGCAACTGTAAAATCACAACTGAAAAACTTCTCGGATTTTTTTTTAGAAACAACTCTACCAACAAGTATCTCTCCTATAATTTCACATATTGGACCCCAAACAGTTAAAAATTTAGTTATAATATAATTATCTATTAATGCAAAGTAAGCAGATCTAATACGAATAAGTAGATCGATACACAACAATACTTCAACAAAGACAGCCGTATCTGGTTGAAAATCGAGACAACGTGGCTGTGCTAGAGAGCTCTTATATCTCAAGTAAAAGCAAATAACAGTAAATATCACCGTAGACTTTGTGTATAGGGTCGTGGGTATTGTTCAGCTTAATCGAAAAACCTTGAAGCACTAACTTGCCGTTTCGTCCTAGTATAAGACTCCATTCACGATTCTGCGCGCGGGAATCAAACTCAGGACCTTCGGTCTCTCACGTGAATGCTTAACCACTACACAGGCTTTAATATTACACTTCAATCGATCCACAACATTGTGCGATTATCTTTTATTATCTTTAATGAGTAATTGCATCTCCCGATACGGTTTAGCTCCACTGGCCACAAATGCTTACTAGAACTCTGAAGGTAGTGAATGTTGAGTAGACGATAATTTTCGGTATGGGGTTGAGGTGATGGTTATATATGCCATAGTAACCAATTGAAATAAGTGTGAATTCCGTTAGATCACTATATTGCGCAGATCATAATATTGTTACTGATGTGAAAAATTGCATTGAAGGCGTAACTACACAAACAGTTTATGGTAATACTGATTCAGATTAATAATGACAGTTTTTAGTGACCCTATATTTGACTCAAATTAAGTCGTATGCTGATTGTTATCAAAATATACATGCCACCAACCTTCGTATAATTTTATCGACTTAATTCACGTTAGAGAATAACGTGATAAAATAAGTCAAATAAGAGAATGAACTGTGAATATGTATATTTCATACAGTATTTGATTCAGATAGACAATCAGGGAAACGAAGTGAAGGGAGCGAATCAAAAGGAAATGGCGCGCAGCGGAGGCGAGTGAGCCAACTCGTTCTGTTCAGGCGTGACTCCATATTTAGTCAGACCAAAAATCAGTCACGGACACGTAGTGAATAAGGCAAGCAATTAACTTGCATACGAGCATATAAAAACAATCAGGGTTAATAAGCGAATAAGTCGCAGGGTCAAAATGGGGCTTGAGAAAGGTGATTACATTGGTCTGTCCAGAAGCTAGAGTAGCCTATATGGGCTTGACATAGCACCGACCGCTACAAGTTTTTTAAATAAGTGATCGTACTAAACTACAAAAATTGGGACCTCAACCTGTTAAATCTCTTTATGTCTATAGAATTTTCCACAGACCTACGTCAACTACCAGCTATTGTGAACAAGACAAAAGCAGTAATTCATTGCAGCAAAAAGTAACAAGAATTTGTTTATAACGTAACTGCATACTAAAACAGACAGTAATTGAGATCAGATCATTCTGTTTCAAAGCTCCGTACATACTAATCTCCATTTATCAATTGAATCACATTTGAAAATTTTTATAACTCATTGATAACATTGTGCCGAATGTGTTAAAAATTTCAAGTTTTAAATGTTGAGCATGGTGCACCTGTTTTTTTCTTCATTTTTCAGGCAAAGTATGTTGAAGATAAAGAGCGTGCTCGTGCCCTATGGACAAGTTTAATAAAGTTACCTGGACATGGTAGTCGAGGTGAATACTGGATACCTTATATTCAATTTGAACAGTTAGTAGTTAGACACTTTTTCTATATGTTGTTTAGTTTTATGGAATGCTGCTTTTATTTACATAGTGAACTGACTAAAAATTAATTAAATATTTTTCTCTTCAGATAATTATCGATTTTTATTTACTAGGCAAGTAACATGCCGTTGGTTGTACTTCAAACATTTTGGTATGAAGGCTAATAATATCACTCAAATCTCGGTAGATTTGGCGAGGTTTGAATTCCAAATTCATTGTCTGAGTAGATATATTCAATAATTGTACTGTATGTTTTGAGAGATATTCAACACCTTTCCCCTAACAGGACATTTGGTTACTAATCCTTTCAAGTCATTGAGTTTCGTTTCTTATCGAAATCAAGAAAATCTCACCCTACGTACAGCGTTACCTACAGCATTTGAAAAGATATAATTGCTCTCAAAGAAGGATTTCTGTAACTTAGCGTAGTTTGTGTATGTAAGTATATGCAAAGGGTAATCGTGTGGTGTTGTACAGTGGAAACGTTGGCTGAAGTAGTGTTCGGCTTATGTCTAAAGAATCAGCAACCTAATTTACCAGGTCGAAGACATAATAAAAACATATTGTAGCATATATTAGGAAGACATGATCGACAACCTCCCCTGAGAGAGTGGTTATGCTTATGTGTATGTTATGAAGTACTGGGGCGGTAGCTATGGGTTCAGTGATATACATGTAACGTGTGATAGACAATCTATTGTAGAGAATACGTTTCAAAAGGAGCAGTGAACATCTACCCTCCGAAGCGGGTGAATATACCTATCTGTATGCTTTGGGATGCATGGGATTAAACCTGTGTTTTACCGGTATGTATGTAATTTATATTTGCTCACAGGGTAGGTATGCCCGTATGTATACCAAGTGATAAACGGATGGAAGTTCGTGTGTCACCTAGTATGCATGTAGACTATACCTATCCAGGGTAAGGAAAAGCTTCAAATAATCTTTTATTTACCCTCCTTTGTGCTACTCCCACACGCCAAGACCTGCGGGTAGCAGCTCCCCATAAAATCACATCTACGTGGTGGGTTTGTAAGCCATGAAAACATGGAATCCATTCCAGAAGGGCCACTAAGCTTCACTAGAAAAGACTTTACCAACCAATCTGGCTGGAACACCGTACCAGTGAGCTGTACATGCCGCGATCGATCTCCTGTAGGCAGATGTATTTACAATTGATTGATCACTGGATATTGACCTATGTCATGTATGTCAAGTTCGTAGTGCTGATCGCTTTCTTATGCCTGGCAGTGTGAATTTTAGTATTATGAACGTTTTTCAATGGAAAAAATATTTGTTTATCTTTCCTTCCACCATTAACTTTGCAGGACTTGGGGTGATATGAAAAATTTACTTAGAATATGTGCTATGGCTATTAATTCAATTAATTTTGACCAATCAGAATTAGTATTTCAAGTGGTTTTACGCGCAGTTGGTGAAACCGGGGTACCTGTTAAACAATATAGAGATATTATAACAAAAATACACGCACGTCGAGCTTCTTTAATGGAGTCTGTTAAAGATGTTCAGTCGACAAAGTCAGATACTGAGGTAAGTAATCCTAAGAGAAGAAACTGAATAACTGTCCTAATTCCAAGCGAATTAAGTTTCGAATATGCATTATTTTCTTCGTTTACCTATCACTTTAATCCAAGAATAAATAGTGAGGTGGAAATATTTCGGACAGTTATCTATCTTTTCTCTTGAACTCATGTTTCCACACTTATTGATATTTTTCTACGACGTCTAATTTGTCAACGTGGTTCTTAGTGCCTTGAGACGCTACGGAGTAAAATTTATTTCTCGATTTGCTGAACTCACTATGTTGCATGGTTTTAACCTGGTATTTGTCGAACAATTGGAATACGCGCTCCTCAACGAGTTGTTAAATGACTTGAATTTATTTCTTCACAAAGAGAATTTTCAAGTCAATGAATAAAAACTGCAAATAATCTATTCATCAACATAGTGATGAGATTTAAATAGTTTTGTATGATTAGTCCATTACAATTGTTCAAAATATCAGGTGGTGTAGTTTTTGTATGTCTTGACCAGGGGTTATTAACCAACATTATGTTATTACCTTATAGAAGTTCAGTAATTCAGAATGATTAATATTCTTTTCTATTTTTCCTCTCGTAGATACCAGTTAAGTCAATGGAAAGCAAATTATCTGGTTCAAGGAAACGAAAACTACCTGATCATCAAAATGATGCTGCCACGTTAAAATCAGCCAAAGTTAGCTTATTGGTTTATGTTTTGCAATTTTTCAATGTTTCTGTAATTTTTGTAATCGTATAAAGCAAATTACGACATATTTCTCTTTCATAAGATTAATAATTATTGTCAATGTACTCCTGTAGCAATTCAACATAGGTTGCTCTGTATTTAGATTTTTTTATTTTTTGATAGAACCGAAAAAATTTTAGAATAGAAAACTTTAGATCAGTTTCATAGTTATTGTTATGTTTCTGAAGTTTTATTTATGGAATTCATGTTCATTTGTTGTATTCGTTTTTTGTACTCTTGGTGTGACAACTTTAATACGCATCCCTATATACACCTGGTACTAGGTAGATAATTTGAAGTGCTTTTAGACTTATTAGTGTCTGCATGTCCTGTAAAAAAGTCAGCGATATTATCGTTGTTTGGAACGGGCGACTATCGTCTGTTCCCTTCAAAACCAACGGAACAATCGAAGAAAACGAAAAAAACCAATTTAGCCATGGGTAAATCATTACAGTTGTTCAACACCGTGCAACTTATCGAATGTAAAATTTCTATCTTCGTCAGCTATAATTAGGGTTAGAAAATTTGTAACCGCCGGAATAAAAAGTATGGGATTTACTTGCATAATTTGTGAAACTGGGACTGTAAGACTAGATAAGTTGCATTAAAGTCTAGGATTCTTTTCACACCCGATTAATTACGACTTAGTAATTACGGCTCAAGTACAGTAAACCCAGCGAGAATATTGTGAGCCTAGTCTTCATCGACTTTTTACCAGGTATTAGAACCCCAATTATCCTTGTCTATTCTCATCGCTGATTGTTTTCAGTGGCCAGAATGCAACATACAATTTCAAGGGTAGGATAATCTTTCAATAGTCTTTCTGTATTGTAGATTTCTAACGGGTAACACATTGCCTTTTAAAGATTTTTATTCACATGGTTTCATCCTGATATGGTGTATCCACTAATCCATCTGATTTCATTTTCCTGTTTTTCTTGAGGTATCAAAACCTAATCCTACTTCTCATGGGACATTTGTTCCACACGATCCATCGAAAAATGAGTTTACAGTATTTGTAAGTAATCTTGATTATTCAGTCAGTGAGGAACAAATTCAACATACTTTTGAAAAGGTGAGTTTTTTAACAAATGTTTGTTATTTTCAACCGGCCGTTTGTTAATTTGTATGCACTCATATTCTGAATTGATTTTCGACCGGTAGTATGGAATTTTGAGTTGGATAACACGTCGTATTCCATTTTTTAACAGCGAACACTTATCCGCTTGATATTTCTCTGTTCAGTGGCATTGAGTTTCGGTGGTTATTGTTTAATCGTTGCTCTACTCGTGACTTCACTATTCCTGATAATCATTGCCCTTTATCCGTAAACAACTCACTGGAAATGTTAAGGTATTTAAAACCAAACTATTCATATTTGTCGATTATACGAAAATTATTTCATAGTGACACTATATCACTCTAGTTAACTGTATAGCACAAGTTGTTTCTCACATATACGGTATATGAGAAGCACTTTTAAATTTCGAAATTACCATTTGACTTATAAATCAATTTTACTTTCATGATTATTAGCATTGTTAACAATTTGAATAAAAGGACAATGTTTTCATCATTAAAACCAAACTCGTAAATCATTTTTTTAAATATTGTTAATTACCAAACGTTACGCGAAACTATTAAGCATTGTCATTAGAAGGTTTTAGATATAATTTCATGATTCTCAGTGTTTGTTCAACATTATGTTCACTGGTCAAGATAGTTAAACTTGGCGAATTCTTTATAAACTAAAATTCAGGTCTGCTGATCGTTTATTGGTATGGTGTGTGCTATTGATGTCGATGTATATTAGTAGTATGTATCATCAATCGAAATTGAAATACCTGGCTGTAGAAGGTTAAGTACATCGAAGAAAAGAGAATGATTGGTGTGGAAATGAAGAAACAATGAAGTCTGAGATGATTGACTGAGCTTTTTCAAATGAGGTATTTACTACATGGTTCTCAGATTTTACTAAGGGATTCTGTAATTTTGTGTTCAAATACCTTCGATTGTCCCCACTTGTGTTCTCGTTTACTACGCTGGAAATGATTGTTCAATGATATGGTAGAGAAAATTTTTTATTTAATAAATTCTTAATATTGATCTTTAGATAGAAAAATATTTCTGTATGCTATGGAATTTATGCTGAAATACGTTTTACGTAACTCCTTCAACTGAAAATTATACAACAGTCCTACTATCTATGTTCATCCACTAACCGCTTATGTTCTTGGAATATCAGTTTTTATCTACGTTTCCATATTGAGTTATTCAATGTCTGAGTTTATATATGTATGTTTTACAGTATTCAACGTCTGATTGATGACGTCATATAGAAGTATGTCTTGGAAATAGATTCAATCATAGACACCTAATATACCTTTAGTTTTAAAATATTTCTTGATGAATTTTATGCCCGTGTCATCTGTCGATATTTTCAGATACTTTTATATTAATCTATAGGAATATTGTTTATTCTATGTACCATTACTTATGCTATGAACAGTTGCTAAAATTGAATCACTTAAATACTTAACCACCAAAAGAAGTTAACTCTCTTTTTTATGACAGTGTGGAAATGTGACATCTGTTCGTCTCGTACGTGATTACGCTGGTCGGTCGAAAGGATTCGCCTATGTTGAATTCGAAAATAAAGAGTCTGTAAAAACTGCACTTACACTGGATAGACAAGGAATTACACGTCCGACCTTAGAAAGTGTGTCATTTGACTCTGATAGCCAAAAACAAAAAGAAGAGGATAACGCAGCAATTCCAAAACCACTTAATTGTTATGATCGTCCAATGTTTGTATCGATATGTGATCCAAGCCGACTTAAATCATGTGGATTTAAATATACGGTTGGCAAAAAAGAACCTGAAAAGTTATTTGTGCGAAATTTAGATAGAGCTGTAAAAAATGAAGATTTGGAAAAGTTATTCAAACAGGTTAGTTCTAGCATATATATATATATATATATATATATATATATATATATATATATATATATATATATATATATATATATAAGTAAACTGATTCAGATAGCTATATTTGAACAATGGCTATTGCTAGGTGGAAAATCCCTCTACTCACAAAACACCACCCACCCTTGCTTGGCAGATCTATCATGTAGCCTTCTTGCGGCGTGTAATCTGTTCGTCGTTGAAGTACCATGTGATTCGTTCGGTACGTCAGTACTACAGAACAATGACTAAATCATACATAGACTATCTAAAATCGTTTACTGAATAAATTAATATTCTCATTTTAATTCTCACCACAGTGTTACTTGAATTAAATCTAGTCTGATCTGCTGTGTCACATGGTTACTACTTTTATGTACAACTGGGTGAAGCTTGATGATGTTATACAAAACAATATAAACGTTAAATTAGTTCCCATTGTACTGTTCAATCGACCAGCATCGGAGCGACTGTCAATAGAGATTCAATTATCGAATGTCTATGTAATCGCAATACTGCAAAATTGACATGCTTTGGTTTATCGGTTGGCGAAATATTGCTCTGGATCCATACAATTGAATTTCACATGGGATTGTTATGAAACAGAATATCACACTAAACCTACTAAACATTGTGTAACGAGTTAACACAATGGAATGTTACACAGAGCACGGCTATACCGAAATTTTACCTGACTTCACATATACATCCTAATGAGTGTCTCAAAATCATTGCTATACAGCTTCAAGATCATGAGCAATTGCTGAGAAGCCTCTAAATACGCAAAGAACTGATCACTTTCGTTCAATGAAATGACCTTCTTAAGTATACTAGTATTGTATATTTATTACCCTGGTTCGGTAGTTTAATAAGAAAAACACTTTAAAACTGGGCATAACGTTTACTACATAACAAGAGGAAGGAGTGAAGGTCTATCTCATCTTATTTTAGACACAAATATTTCACTATTCAATGGAGAAAAGTAAGAAATATAATTCTTACATAAAATAAACATAGTAGACAGCCTTAACTCCCAGCTCTAATGTTTTTATTCTGACAGCAAATTATTGGTTGATTCATAACTGCCTACATGAAAGTTCAGGTGCGCAACATATGTTGATGACACGATATTTCAACATCTTAACTGGTGGACCCTGTTTCCATATTACCTTTACGCCTTAGTACAGTCAACATTATGAATTCACACTTATTGCTTTGAGTTTACCACTATCCATACAGCTTCTTTAGTTTGATAGGACCTCAAACAACAAGTAAACTTTGACCGCTATAGCAAGTTAGTGGCTACGATTACGTTCAATTTGATTTTTCTTTACTGAAAGTTTTTCATGTCTAACTGACTGTTCTTAACCTTTTTACTTTTATAGTACGGTAATATTGTGAGTATTCGTCTAGCAACATATCGTAACGGTGTCCCAAAAGGTCATGCCTACATTGAATTCACGAATGCAGATGATGCCAGTAAAGCGTTAGTTGCCACAAATGGCTTAGAATTCAGAAATAAAATATTGTCAGTATCTATTAGTGAACCACCTGTACGTGGTGGAAGTGATCCACAAGGCTGTAAATCAATTACATCAACAGAAGACAAAAAAGTGTTCAAAACCCCCCAAATTATTAATTTCAGGGGTTCTCATTCCGTCGGAACTAGTGTGTACGTTCTATTACTCACTTGTGTGATTGCGTTTATTGAACTATGGCATTTTTTTTCAAGCAAATGAGCTATACTCTTTTACTCATTAATTTTATTGTCTTACCGTTGCTTATTTATGTGTATATTCTCATGATTTGTCCCGTAGTTACTGACAACAAACGTACTCGACAAAACCTTTAGCTTCAAACTTGTCAAATTCATGGAAACACGTATTGTACTTCAAGTATTGATACTGAATCTGACAAAATACCGACTTCAAACTAATATAGAATCCATTATCATTTGCTACGGTCCATAACTTCGGCTATTATAAAAAATGCATTTTAAAAAGTACTGTATACTAAATCTCTGCCATAGAATATATCAATAAATCAACAGTTAGAATCAAAACAGCTATCCATATTGTAATACGTAGCTTTAAGTTTACGATGTTGACGATTATTCAACATACTCAAGAATTTGAACTCCACTCAAACAGACCGATTACAGAAAGGCATCATGTCACTTATCCTTAAGAAGGTATATTTTATTTTCTTGGTTCTGACCTCAGTGTCCGCAGTTCAGCAGTTTCTCCATAACAGTATGTCTATAAATCTTCCAGTCGGTAACTGTCATAAGGTTTTCACTATGAGTATACATCTGTGTCAGTAACTATTCACGAAAGTCGGAGATCAACAACTGACTAATCTTTGTCCTTTACTGAAACATCTAAGAAGCATACTGGTCAGTTCTCTCGGACACTTATTTTCATATATATGAGTTCTAATATCTATATAAATCTAACCATATATAGAAGACAGTGTTATTATTAAGTGCATGTAACATCTTTAAAACAATGTTCAATATATGAAATCTATGAAGCTGATACTAGTTCATGTTTTATTGTCATAAAATCTTTTACATCAGATAATTAGTAATCATTTCGAAAATTTTGGTTTTTTTAAATCATGACTATTGCTGGTAATATGTAACAAATAGCTCCACAACCTCATGTGTGACAATTTTTATTCTACCCTTACCATTTTGACTACAGAGTTCCTAATACATTGAATATATATTCGCTAGTTTTCTTCTCATACGATTTACATATTTCATTTAATCCTTGTAGACGGAAATCACGAACACAGTTAGAATTTTTGCCGCGTGCAGTTCATCGAACTCGTGAAATTCAAGATCCAGTGTCAGAAAGTAAGATGGATACTGAAACTACCGACCCTGAATCATCCACCGTTACTAGTAGTAAGGATAATGAGTACTTTCGAAGACTATTGAAGTGACTCATGACCTAACTTTTCTCTTGTAAATTATTGAATATCGATTTTTATAATAAACCCTATGGTCAGTTTATTGGCATCAGTATCCCAAAACCCAGTACTTTCGAGGCTTCTTGTTAGCTAAACATTTTGATTAATGCTTTCTTACGTACCTGATTAACTGAAAATTTGGATGACATTTCTTACCGGTTAAAAAGTGTGTAATGCGAAATGTGGTGTGTTTACTTCTACAAAGTTTGACTATTAATCATAAAGATGTAACACGCTGTATTTAGAAATTGTAAGCTTGTTCCATTGTGTCGGGTGTTTGATCATACGCTAATGCTTAAAATATAAAGTACGAGGTCTTCTAACGTGTCACAGACGCATAACATTTGGATCATAGTTCTCAGCCGAGCATCAAACAAAATTTGGACCTCAATCGTTAAGGGCAGTTGGAAGGTGAAGTGATGTTTTGTTCTTTACTGCCTCAAGGAATCTTATGTGGCAACTAAGAGCGTTGCTAACTTGTAACTTCAGATAGCTTGCTGATGATTAAGCCTTAACTTCGACCAAAATACTTGATTAAGACAAGGACGATATTCATAGATATTGTCGTAACGAAAGCGCCTTCTTTTTTTCGCATACTTTTGCAGGAAATTTCCAGAACTGTACTAAATTTCTTACACTAATTGAAATATCCATGTTGACTAATTTTTTCTAACAGTATTATTATCCTTAATCTCCCAGAAATTCGTATTTCCGTTTTTAAAGGACATACAGTTCATGTAACAGTGTCTGTTCTTCCTTAGTTTTCCATTAGGATTCCTCCATTTAGAAACACTCCTCATGTGGTCTGTGGAGGTCCTGTATACTGAGATTAAATAGGCGTAGATTTTGCATTTTTTTGATAATTTTTTTGTACATATTCCAAGTGCACAACCACGTTAGCTGAACTCGATAAACTGAGAAAAACCTTCCATTGGCTAGTTACCACAGAACTGCTCAACTTGCTTTAATCCACGACCTGTCTCAACTTCCTTAAACAACGCTTCCACAGCAACGTAAGTAAACTTTGAATGAAAGTAGGAGAACTCAGGGACATTTGTTTTCTCGTTCTAACGGGAACGTGGTTTTCGCTTGAAGTCGAGGTAGTGACTCTTTTCATATCTGTCAATGAGAAAGACTGGCGATTTGTGTATGAGGTCATTTCGGCTTCACTATATCATCCGATGAAGCTTGTAGAAAGTTCTCTTATTTGTTGTTTCACTCTACATGTATTGCTTCCTCTGTTACCCTCTATATTCAGCTACATGTTCAGTTTTTGTTTCGCTTGTGGTTATTATAATCATGTCGATTGTACTTTTTAATGGTTATCAGTTCCCTGATATATCCTTGAGGTTTACAATTCTCTTTTCATGTTTTTAACTCAACATTTCGATTTTTGGAGGCTTCCATAACGGACGGCCGTATTACAGGATAATCTTGTTTAACTTGATTCATTAGATCTATCCCTAAAAGATAGAGACATAATCTTATTTTTTGTATGATCATTAATTTGTGGTTTGACTGCTTTCCATTGGGGGCGATTTGTTTCGTTATCCTTTGAAAGGAACACTATTCCTGGATTATTGGAAACACTTTTACGTATTTAGCAACTGATTGTGCAATCTGTCGCTGAATTTCGCGACCGTATCAGTTGGTGAAAGTATTGTTCTGGCCCAATTTTAATTTCGGTTTTTATATGTATTCTTGTTTGTAGCACATTTAGACTTTGTATGCCTACATACTACGTTACTAAGTACTAACAGTTTCACCTTATCGCCTTTCGGTAAAGTTAAAATGCAGTGTTTTAGCGAATCATCCCGAAACAGATCTTTTGAAATTCATAAGATTTAGTGTTTCACAAGGAGTTCTTATCTCTTCTCAGTAGCACAAATGGTCAGCTATACCTCATTCCATCTATATGTGTCAGCACTATGGGTGTATTATTCATCTAACTGCGAACATATTCTCTTAAATCGGAATATCGACCAAATTTAAAGCCAGTCATCTGCCAAAGGATCGGGAGATCAGAACTGGTATATCATACTCGCCACAGCCGTTGCCAATGAAGATGCATGTTTACCCAAACTTAGTCGTGCAGCTAGCTACAATACGTTTGAAGTTGCTAGAGATTGTATCGCACTTGTGGTATCAGTGAGAATCGTCAACGAAACAATCAGACTATCCGAATGTATGATTAGAATCCCGTGTTGCTACATATATTCACGTTATAAAACAAAAAGTGCTGTGATAAAGGGTATTGTTGTAAATAGATTCAGTTTTTGGACCTCTTAAAAAAACAGAGTGGCATCCACCTGCGAAACAAAACAAATTGACCGGGTGTGAACTTGCGACTCTTCGTGTTACCTTCTGAATACATACCCCGTTGAGATCTAAAGACGGCTACCAGGATGACTGATAAACGGAGCCTAAGCAATAATGTCGAAGCTAAACCACTACAGGACTGCTTCACTCGAGAAAAATTGATATTTGTCAATCACAAATCAAACGACATCTAGAATAGTATTAATTACATATCATTAAATAATTTGGTCAATAAAGTTGGATAAATTAAGCCAGTGATTGATCAATAATCGAGACGTGCATGCACATAACTTACAAAAACAGATTAGGTGACTTGATGGGGAAGTGCATTTCCGTTACAATCAGCCAGGGAGTAACGTAGTGGTTCCCAAGGTCGTCTAGTCATGGCGTTGAAAGCGGAACTCTGTCGTAAAGCATTTCCCCACAGCTCCTTCATGAAGATATGTCTAGGAGCGTGGATATGGTAAGGAGGTGGTCGACGCACCGACGTCAGTCGTCTGTGTTCCACTGATAGCTATATCCGGTTGTGCCTTCATTTCAGTGTCATTATGATTTCTTTGTTGTAGTTCGAACTCATATATCCGGTAGCTGCGTAAGTGTCAATGAATGAAACTCAAAGCTTATCTATAATTGATACCGTTTCGGATCATAGGGCAGCCAATGATTTTTCTCTAGGTAGCTATCAAATTATAAGTATCGATGTGGATTGTCGCGCATAGTAAGGAAAAGTAATTTAAAGGTAAATTGGACCTTTATATATTACCTTTGGAGATCAAATTCATCTAACATTGATACCATAATATTGTTATTTAGTATTCTATCCACTTTGATTGGGTTTGTTAGCGGGACATAGATTAGATTACAGCATGTGTAACGGAAAGAGGACGATGAAAATCCCTCCACAGCCTTTTTTGTTGGACAGTATCTTCATTTATTTGTTTCTTCTCCCTGTCATATCTTTTAACCTTTGTTCAGATCTCGTTTCAGCCTTTATTATGTGGTTTTGATCAAAAGATTATCGTTTTGTTACCTAATTTTTTAATGCATGTTGCCGGACTATTGACAGTGAGGTCGTGTTTGACTAAGCTCAAGGTCACGGCGTGATTCAGTGTGACTGTTTACCTTTTGACTGTCTGCTTGGGAGAATTTCTGGAATCCCTGCAGATAGATATTTGATCCCGTTTGTTGGGAATATATTTGTTGATTCTCAGGTATCAAATCCTTTGGTATTGACTGTTTCTTTTATTGTTTGACGCACAACATTGCGTTAGAGAAACTTCTGACTATAGCACAGGCTGTACCGTTTGAGCTATTTTGTATTGTTGATATAATTTGTTCTATTTCTTAAATTAGAACCGTATAAATTGAGCACAGAATTTGTGTTTTGATATAATTTAATACGAATGTCTCAAAAACTCTTAGCGTGCTATACGGAAGATCGTAGTCTGACCTATTCGAATACTTTTTGGTTCGTCAGTCTTGCGTTCAAACCGAATACTGGTAGTTTGGTCGTTACAATGACTTTATTTAGATCATGAAACATTAGTTTTGGAGCTCGAAGTTGTCCTTTTCAAACACGAAATTTCCAACAATCAATGTACAGTGAAGGGAAATGTAATACTACGCAAAATGATAATTAAATGAATACTTGGATCATAATGTTTTGACATAACTACGGTGTTAACTGCCCATTCTTTACCAATCAGCCTAAGTTGTCAATACCTCAAAACAATTTATTTTCCAAGAATGGTGACTATAAACTCCAGATGTCGAGAGAATCTAACTAAAAATCCTCATACTCGATTCAAAGTGATAACTGTCTTTTTCAGCCATATAGGCTGTAAATCAAATCTAGATCAGCACTCGACGACAAAAAGGACAAATATTGCGTACCCAAACGTCCGTTTACCTCGATCAACAAAACACTGTACATGACATATCGAAGGGGAAGAATTTGTAAGTTATGAGATAACTGTACAGTCGGGTTACGCGAAGGAGTAGGATATTTTCAGAAAAACTTCGAAATCAAACTGATTGCTCACAAATTATCTGATTCTGACTAAAATTTGTCACATATAAGAATCGACAGGCAGCATTGATCAAGGAACGGTCATTTCCATCGTCACAAACGAGATACATCCAGAAACAAACGATCATTTGAAAGTTCATTTTACGAGCCTCATAACCATTAGAGTGGTAAGCACTTGCAGAGGTATCGTTTTCTAAACACACGACCTTGTAAGCTGAGCATAACTGAGAAAATTCACATTCACAACTAAAATGTGTTTTTTGGAATTGCTGATCGTCTCGATATGACGAGTCACTACAGACACTGATGTGGCTTCCATCTAAGATGCTATGGATGAGGTAGTCACTTCATGTCAGATCTGCAATTTAGGGATTAAGCCTTTTATTGTGATGGCATGTATAAATGTACGGGTACCAAACTAGACCATTAATCTACAGACTAACAGTAAACGACCATAGGATGAAGAAGTGTGTATATCCGGCAATATGTCCCTCAAGCTGGCGGCCTGACTGAAGAGAAACTCAGTCAGAATGCAAACCTTGGAAAAATTACGAGGTTTCCACACAATACTCTGACCACAGCTCTTACTTGAAGTCAGAGAAATAAACCTAGTGCCAAAGTGCGAAGTGACATGACTGAAGCAGCAGTTTGAATACAAACTGACCCGTAAAATTTGTACAGATTTGTGTCTGGGAGCAAACCCAGGAGTCAAAGTAGCTGTGACCCTCTAACTCTTAGCATGGAATGTGTTATCCACCTGAAAATGGTAGAATTCCTCACAGATCACTTTGAAACTCAAATAAAGTAGGAATTTGTGAATGTGGAGCACCTTTCTACTCTAGAATCAGCTGACGGTCCGAAGAACATCCATCTAACCCATGGGTTGGTTCTGCAGAAATTAAGATCCTTAAGACCATGAAAACTGCATAGATTCAATTACAGCCAAAAGTTTCAGTAAT